TTCCCAGGTAGAAACCCAGACCCCGCATCTTAAGTAAGTGCATTAATCAGTGGGTAGTAGAGAGGAGGAAAAGGAGAGTGGGCAAAGCTGTGGGGGACAGCAGTGCTCCATGGCACGTCAGCCCCTCCATGGACATACTCAAGTTCTGAGGTCATCAGCCTTTAGATTTTGGCACCTCCAGTAAGCGTAAAGCAAGGCTTATATACAGTTCAGCTCTGCAGTTCCTCTATCAGCAGGGACAGCTGAAGGAGTTAACTGAGCACAGTGTCCAGTTCCGGTCCCCACAATTCAACAAAGACGCAGACAAGCTGGAGAAGATCCAAAGGAAGGCCATGAAGGTGATCAGAGGGCTGGAGAACCTGCCCTATGGGGAAAGACTGAAGAAATTAGGTCTTTTCTCCCTGGAGAAGAGAAGGCTCGGAGAGGACCTCATCACAGTATTCCAGTACTTAAAGGGCAGCTACAAAGAAGATGGAGGCTCTCATGGAGAAGACAAGGGGCAATGGGTATAGGTTGCACTGGGAGAGGTTTCATCTCGACATAAGAAAGAAATTTTTTACAGTGAGAACAGTCAATCACTTGAACAACCTCCCCATGGATGTGGTAGAGTCCCCATCACTGAAAGTTTTCAAGATACAATTGGACATGGTGCTAGATGATCTCATCTAGGCTTCCTTACCCACGAGAGGCTGGACCAGATGATCTTTTGAGGTCTCTTCCAACCTGGGCTGTTCTGTGGTTCTATGAGTTTGATGGACAGGGAGTCTCTAAGCAGGCTTTGCTCCTGAAGAAAAAGAGTGTGGAAAAACTCCTCTGAACATATCTGGCCTTCTGTGTTTCTTGCCTTGAGAGTATTACTAAGAGGTAAAAGTGGCCTCTTCATTTATCTGTCTTTATTGCTTCTACTGTTAGGGAATCAGGTACTTGGGGACACTTTATTAACAGAAAAGTCTGTTTATTTTCAAGAACCTACAATCTGACCAGTATAGATAGAAAATTAGCTTGGAGTTTTCTGTAGGACAATTTAAGTAATGAAAAACCAATAAAAGTAAATGTATGTATTTTGTCAGTTCTGTGTCTTGACTTTAAAGAGCTTCTCTGACTAATTGCAGTCTTCTGGACTTACACAAATAAGTTTCATTGTGTTACAAGCTGTTGCAATATGTGGTCTTCTCATGCCTGAATACTTTCTCTCATCAGAGCACCAACAAAACAAAAAAAAGGACTTGAGAGATGGCTTTCCTGTGTCAAACACACCATGTTCCTTCTACCAAAAGAGCTAACAACTTTCCTCTGGGATTTATATACAAGCTTACTTCCAATTTGAAATGTCTTCCTTGTGTTTGTCTCCTAGCTTATGATTTATGCTAACTGTGCTCTGAGACAAGGGAGGCACCTACAGTAGATGTCCATCAGTAGAGATAGCTTGCCGGTATGGTTCTCTCTTCTTAGCTAAGACCCCCCACTTTGAGCCTCTCATACATCTTTCCAGGTATGTGTGTTGAAGTAGCCCAAGTATTACTCTACAGGATTATTCTGACTTGTTTTCTGAAAATGGTCTGTATCATGCAGTTTAATATAGTGACAGTTGTTCACTATACATTGAAAGAAAACATCTCTACCTGAGCTCTCTTCTAGTTGTTTCAGTGGAAAATTAGTCATTTGGAGGAAACTTGAAATCACAAGTTACACAGACCTACACAGCTGTTTCAGCTCCTTCCCTCTATATTATCCTGAGGAGTTTCAGAGAGACTAACTGGAGTTTGCAAATCCTGAGGCTGATGGGAGGTTAGGATGTCACCCAGGCCCCTCTCCGACCTAGTCTAGCTGCACTTTAGGATCTTCCTCTGCTGGGGCTTGTTGCTGACCAAATGAAAGCAAATTTCTCTCCAGTTTATTATTAGCACAAGGCCCCTTTTTTGGTCCAATGCTTCCTAGCAACCTGAGTATCTGTTTGTAAGTTTGCTTTTTACAAACTGTTATCGTAAGTGCACTGAAACAGAGTACTTGGTGAATTAGCTGATACCCTTGAAAAGATAATGATGGGAGCGATGGCCAAGCCCAGAAAAGGCAGAAGGCACCTTGCCATGCTAACGCAATCCAGATTCCAAGTGTCTGCAGAGCGTGGGGTGCCCAAGAAGGGGTACATGAGCGGGGGGCTGCCTGCGTCCTGGGGATGGTGCCACCCAGCCTGTCCCCGGGCTGGGTACCCTCCCCTTGGGCTGTAGCGAAGGGTCTTCAGCGCTAACAGCCCTGCCCTGTCCCTTGGAGCTAAGTGTGTCACTCCTTCCTTTTAAAGATGAAGCAATGAATAGAGGTTTCCTTCAAAGCTCTGAACTGAGCTTGGGCACCTTCGTTCCTGCTTGGGGTGCCAGTTCCTCCATTCAGCATCACCCACTCCCCTGGCTCGGCTTCCTCTGGCTCTCGGGGGACCTAAACTCACAGCTTCCAGAAACCTTTCTCAGCTGGCAAGTTATAAGCTGTTTCAGGGGCTCTTATTCCCTCCTGCTAAAGTTGCTGCATTTTAATCATCGATGATTAAAGGCTAATGAGTCTGGAAGGAAAGTATGCACAGCAGTGCACAACTGAGCAGGAGCTGGGGCACTCACTGGGAAGAGCAGCGTTCGGTCCCTCTGTCAGCTAGTACTGTATTAAATAACCATTGCAGGGACTGGAGTCCAGCTCTGCTCTTCCAAGTCATAGAGCCCGAGTTGTCTCTGTTTGCTCTGCCTGGCCCTGTCAATGTTTAATTATGCCATCTGGGGCCCGACAGCTTCAACAGGAGAGAACGAACTCACCCTCCTCCCTTCCCAAATAGCCTAAGGTCCAAGGTGTGCCCTTCCCTGAGGAATGGGCTGTGTGGGGCCTGAAGCTTTCTGTGCTCAGGACCAAAGTGAATCAAGGTTTCAGCATGCTTGGTTGTGGCCCTTGGTGCCTGGGGTAGAAGGGGGCTGCCCCCTAATCCTGCTATTTTCGGTGGTCCCTTTGCACAGTGCTCTCCCGGAGCATGCCTGCAGCACAGGGCCCTTGCTGCGAGGCACACAGTGGGACATCAAATTTGTTCATTGGGGCAGGATACAGACATGGCCCCGAAACAGTCTCTTCCTAAAAGGGCCTAAGACAACACATCATAAAATCTGGATATTTATAAATCCCCCTAGAGTCCCATGCTATGCTATTAGACTTTTTAAAGGCTTTTTCTTCAATATAGAAGCATTGGCCTCATAGTAAAGAAGACACTAAGATAACTATTATTTTTACAGGGCTATAAAAAATGATATATTCTCAAACCTGTCTAAAACTTTCCTAAAATAACATTTTTCCTCTACTGAGAGTGGTGTATTTCCGCGACATGATGTAGTGAGGTGCACATGCTCTTTTGGCACTCTTTGGGAATAGCCCACATAATTCACTTGTAGTTTTGACATCCATGAGTGATGCACCTTTCCCACACTCATGCTGAAACAACATTAATACCATTCCAGTCTGTATTTTGTATCTTGCAGACATGCGCAAAGCTTTTACTTAAGGTTACAAAATGTACTGAGTAAGCCCCTACAGCTAGCTGTTTATAATTGGGCTAGTTCTCAATTGGGTGGCATGATCTTTGCTTCAAGTTCATTTTTGGTTTTATTTTCGTGTTACTCTTTTATTAAAAAAAAGACTAAAGGGTCTTTACCATTTCCTGAAATTATTTCCTTGCTCACTTTAAAAGCAGGTGGTTTTGCAGAGCTGCAGTGCCTCTGTGGTACTAGGTAAAGATTTAAGATTTGCTACAGGGATAATATGGAGTGCCATTATGAACACTGTGGGAAAGCATGAAATGTTGGGCAGTTCATAAATCCTAAACAGTCATTGCTTACATAGGGGCAGGATTTGCAAGGGATTTTTCCTAAAATATCTGAACCTTTCCTTAGCCCTTAATTTGCTTCCCAAGCTCACATGGGTTGAGTGTTGGAAGGGCAGGCAAGAGAAAAATTGATGCCTGTACTCTTCTGCCCCCCCTCCCTTTGAGCTTGTGGGAGAGATGCTCTTCAGGGAAATTGGGGAGCTCCCTCCTGCCCACCGAAAACTTGTACCTTTTACAGCTGCTGCCTGGATCACGGCCTTATAAACCTGTCTTGAAGGACAAGCAAGTGCCCTGCCCTTATTTTACAGATGGCTTAACAGATATTGGCAAGTATCATTAGAAACAGTGCTCAGGATTAAGCGTTTGTCCACAGCACAGCCCTAAATTGCCCCTCATTCATAGCCAGGTGGCCTTGCAGAGCAGTCTCATCATGCCCAGACACCTGCTCGTGCTGCCTGAAACTGGGGGCTCCCACTCAGGGCAGGGAGCAGGAACTGGGACCCGCGCTCCCCTCGGCCACAGGAGCACCACTGCTCCCAGGGACGGCCCCTGCTCCAGCGTCAGCAGCCCTCCTCTGCTGCTGGGGGGGTTTGCTCAGCCTCTTTGGGTCTGCTGCCAGTTAGCCAGCATCTGCAACAGTTCTAGGGTTTTGTTTAAACAAACAAAAGTTAGAAAACTTTATTTTAAAAGTTACTCAAAGAGAATATTTGGTCATAAAGTCAGGTAGAGAATGACTAGGAAATAATTGATTCAAGGCTGTCTGAGAAATATTAATTCAGCCCACTTGTGCTCTTTGTTCTACTCGCCTCCTTACCTCAGTCAGAGAACAGCACAGGCAGTGAATAAAGTATATGAAGAGTAATGATGTTCCCTGGCTATAGTTGCAACCCAGATAAAAATTCATAGCATTCAAATGTAATGGCAGGCAAGAATAGAATAATTAATATCTACAAGGACAACATTTGGATTGCACAGATCATGTTTACTCTGATATCTCCCAAAGTTTTTATATTTGCATGGGCACCCTGGCATTCTTCTAATTTTTTTTTTTTTTTATGTATGCAATCTGTACATATGAAATGCCCCTATTTTCCCTGTGTTCCCTGTTGGTTAATAGGTTGGCTTATGGTAGTGATTTGCAATGTTACAGGCAAGGGAGGACGTGATCCACATGCTGAAGACAGAGAAAACCAAACCTGAAGTTTTAGAAGCTCATTATGGGTCTGCAGCTCCAGAGAACGTGCTCCGAGTGCTACACAGGGACGCCATCCTTGCCCAAGAAAAGTCTATAGGGGAAGACGTGTATGAGAAACCAATTTCAGAGGTAATGACTTCTTGATTTACATCATTATGTCTGTGCAGGCAGAATCCTAACCAGAAGTAAGACTCTACATATTTTGGATGTGTGCAAAGCATGCAAGAGGATAACACAGCATTTGTAGAAATGACGAGAAATCAAAGAAAAATTGAATATTCTTGTTCACTCAACTGCAGAATAGGTTGTAAGCAAAGTCTTCGGTTTGAACACAAACAATAAAGAGATTGTATGCTCCTTAGGGCTGGTGCCATTAAGCAAGAACAAAATCTCTGGGTGTTACATTTCTGGTTTTTAAATTCCTTTAAATTATAGGCTCCAACCTCTACTGCTTGCAGCACTGGTAAGCACTCTTTGATTTTCTTGGCATACTAGACCACTATCGTGTAGGTAGTTAGGAAAAGAAGACCTTCAGAGATTGACTTTGACCGTATTTATGGGATCATAAATCTGCGATCATTTGACATCACTTAAGCTCTAGGACTGCAAAGTCAGTTCAGCCCCTGAAAGAGACCTGTAGGACTTGATCCCTTGCTTTAAAATCTAAGCAATAAATGAATGTAGAATAGACCTGGGAATGTCTGAGGCCAGCATGAATGCCAAAATAAACAGCCACTGCTCATGTTTATAGTTTCATAACACTCCAGGCATGGAGAAAGATCATGCAACAACATACAGTATAATATACTATAATGCCTGTCCAAATTTTCATCGTTCCTCCTATTAGAACATTTAAGTCTTTCACCAGGAATTGTGTCTACCACAGGTTACCTTTATACTGTGTATTCTTATTGAAGCATCTTCTGGAATTTTGGGGATGATAGTAAATAAGGAAAGCAAACATTAGCATGTGGGAGCATGCATGAAATACTGTTGAACAAGATTAAAAGAGCTTAGCAGGGCTTTTGTCTAAAGAAGCTGATAATTTGATGGGGACCTCAGTGTAAAACTTTTATCATGTGTAGGTCCACAGGGGTTATGTTGGACCTAAAATAGGATGGTGACAAAATTTCCTAAGTGCAAAAGATCTACTCTCAAAGGCTGAACCTGACCTGGCTCCTTTATAAAATGCAATGACTGCTTTACTTTGACTGCTGTGGTCAACTTCTGGAGAGCAAATCGCCACCGTGGTCTTCCTGCTCGCTTATTTCCCTCAGATTGCTGAGGGACCCTCTGAAACAGCAGCTGCCTGGTGCAGCCAGGGAGGAGGAAGATGTAATTCCTACAGGGTAAGGGCTGGAACTGGGCAGAGCAGGCTCTGCCAGCTGCCGTGCCAGGGGCAGGCAAGCAGAGAAATGCCAGGGCTGCAGGCTGCTTGGGCAGGGAGGAGGATGGAGTTTGTCATCTGCTCCCAAGAAACGGTGAAAGGAGCAACATGAATAGCCGTGACAGCTTCCGAGTGCCCTGGCAACATTTTAGACACACATCCCTGGCCTTAGGGTTTGTTTGAATAACAATTGGCGTATTAACGTAATAAAAAACACCCAGAAGACAAAAAAGGTAAAGTGTTTCTAATAAAGAAAGAGAAATTCCTGTCAAAAAAACAGGCTGAGGGGAAAAGCCTCTGGCTTATAATGAATTGTACTTGGTAATACGAAACTGAATCTGTGCTGAATCTAAATAGCTTAGACTTTTTATCTCAGCAGTCCTACAGGTGCATTGAAGATGCATAACTCAAATTTCAGCCTTGAGCTTACACCTTACGCTCCACATATAGGTGTCTAGTCCCCATATAGGTACGTGAACTCAGCCTCCCAGGGTCTGAGGGCGCATATCCTGCCCTGGCATTTGCTACAGCTTTTCCCGTGCGAAATGAGGAAAGTGTACACAGCACCTCACCACAGGGGAAATTCTGCACTACAACAATATTATTTGTTACCCTAAAACTAAGTGGAGTTCTGTCCTTTGTGTATCTGAAAACCGCGCAAATGTTTATGGCAAACACGCTGTCCAAAGAAATCATTACTTTTACAGGACAGTTACTCTTATTTCTAGTCACTGCTTTATGTAAAAGCCCAAGACATAAAATTATGGGACTTGCATTTACCAAACACAACATTGTTGGTTAATAAATCAGATGAAGTAAGCAAGGAGACCTTTAAAACAGTCTATTCTCCTTTCCTACAATCCAGCTGGACAGACTTGAGGAAAAGCAGAAAGAGACGTATCGGCGCATGCTGGAACAGCTCCTGTTGGCAGAAAAGTGCCATCGCCGCACAGTTTATGAGCTAGAAAATGAGAAACATAAACATACAGATTACATGAACAAGAGCGATGACTTTACCAACCTCTTGGAACAGGAGCGGGAGAGGTGAGTACCTGAGATGGTGCAAAGAGTATCCCCAGTGTCCCAGTGCTTGTGGTTCAGCAGTGACATGGGCTGGTATTTTCTGTGTTTAAATGACACTAAACTTATGTGTAAACCATTTGTAAATGTCGGTCCACTCATGTTATTAGTAAGTACCTTACTGTGCAAGTCTAGAGCTGGAGGAATACCATTGAATGTTCCTGTAGTGTGCACTTGAATTAAGGCATGATTTTGTTATGAATTACTCATACCCATTTTGGGTTCACCTCCTGGTAGCTTTTGATCAGATGTTATTTATGTTGGCCAAGTTTGGGGCTGGCTTGCTTAGCTAAGCACCGCATTTTGTGAAGGACAGGGCACTGTTTGTCAAAGCAGGAGGACAGGGTAAGGAAAACCACAACACACATTAGGATACTGGCACACAAGTGGTAGGGACTTTGCCATGCCCCACACATTTAGGCTGGCAAAGTCACAAACCATTTGCGTTATTTTTCATATTTTTGAAGATGCATGCCTCAGGCAAGATCTATGTTCCCCTGGAAGAAAATATTTTCATGTTTTTTAAAATGTGCCCAGTCTGCGATGGACTATCTACAGGGTTTATCTCACAGTCTCATACTCTCCAGGTTTTTTTCTTCAAGTGTTTGTCCTCCTTGTTGGAGTAATTTGTTCTCTGAGTCTCTAAGAAAGAGCACCTACCAGCAAGAATGAGCACTCGCTAACAGCCTCAGTTTTTCAATATGAAATTTTCATGCACATACCAAACTGCTTGAAATCAATCCACAATGTTGTTTTTTTTTAAAAAAAAAAAAAAGCTCTGAGAAAAATACGGCAAGTTCAAAGAAGAAATGCTTTTGAGGAAACCACAGTCTGGTGGCAGACATTTGCAAAAAGCCAGGAGCTAAATTGTTTAGTGTATTTCCTGAGCTCAGTTCAGTGCCAACTTTGAGTAGGTGGCACATGAGCTACAGTGACCATATTTCCTGGTTAAATAGCTGGGGTTTTTTTGTCTCTCTGTTTTCTTGGGTTGATTGGCAAACTTTAAAGGACAAAAATACTTCTGCATCTTAGCAATTTGATTCTCTTAACAGAAAATAAAAAATTTGTTGTATTTCCAAGTAAGGAGCAATTTCACATCTGATTCTCATAGATGCCATTTTTTCTCTGTGCTCAGTATCCCTGTATGTGTGGACATGCAGGCAACTAAAATGCTACAAAAGTGGTATTAAAATACCATTTACATTTGTCTTTACATTTTATATTCACTTTAATTTGACAATGGTGCCTTCTTATTATTCCAGTTCAACTCGTGAAGGCCATTAAATAGCCTAAGATTATGACCTGTTTTAAACTGACTTCCTTCAATGAACTGATTAAAGAGCTTTCTGTCTCACATTACTACGGCTAAGATACCAAGTCCCATCTCTGTGGGCATTTTTTCATACTCTTCCTGCTCTTTCATGTCTTTTAAACTTCAGGTTTTCCACATTCTACAATTTTTGGAAAAACAGCAATAAAGAAAGCAGAATTTGAGTTTGAACTTCTATTGAAAGCCGATATTTAAGAGCAACTAAATCTGGCGGCTTTAGTTGCCAATGCCTCTGTACTGGTGCCTGGGGCGGGGGGGAGAATTGCAGTGCTGAAGCAATCTTGATTTATGTTGAGTGACACGAGAAACCTGATGTCTGCTACTTAATCCACTTTGTTTGTCTAAGGCACTAATGAGGAAATTAATTTCAAGTTTAGTAGCGACGAAGCAGAGAACATAGCAGGTAGCTTAACATAGAAAACAAAGCGTGCGCGTCCCTCCCTCTTCAGGGTCCTCCTCCCCGATCACTTGCAGAGCAGATTAGCAAAATCAGGACGGGCTGGAAACCACTCATTAGTGTATAGTCTTAAATGATCTCAACTCCTCATCTTTGCTGTGTGCACATGAAACTGAGGCTGCACCCACATATTTGTGGGTGTTAAAAACTGGAAGTAGTATCCTTTGAGGGCTATATTCACAGCGAAAGAGAGGGTGATGGGATGACTTCTTAGGAAAGTCCCACAGTGGCAATCAGCAATAGATTTTTGTCAAAAAGAAAGAGTCTGTAGTGGAAAGATTAAATTGCAATAGGTTAAAACATAAAAAAACCTCCCATACTCACTTAATCTCCATATTGGGACAGAGAACTGACCTGTCCAAAAGCATTTCTCAGGGTCCTGCATAGGCATTCTTGTTTTATGAGTACCACTTTATATATAATCTGTTTTACTGTGGTGCTTTGAGGCCTTAGGGTTATTTTATTAAGAGCTGAACAGACTTGTAGTCTCCATGAAACAGAAAAGGGACACGGAGGTGAACTTTGCCCGTCAGCCACTCCGCTGCACTCGCAGTTATAATGTTAATGAGACAGGGTGAGCAGGAGGAAGAACAGTCCTGTGGGACGGCCATCTCACAGCAGTCTGGTACAAAGAGAGCAGTAATAATTTCTGTGCTGGATCTAAGTAATATGAGTAATTTCTTTCCTCACAGTATTTTACCAATCTTTCCTAACCATTGCTGTCCACACCAACTTTTAGAGGCCACATCTGCTTTTGCTGTCCTGTGAAAGTTTGAACAAGATAAAAAGGGAAATTCTTTAAGAGCAGAAATACGCCTCAGTTCTAATGTATTTCTAGCACTCTTTTAATGTATTTATTTTGGAATATATTTTTACATACACTTTCATACATTGTCTCTAATCCATCCACAACAACATGATATGAAAGCAAACAGTCCCTATGAGGGACTAATTATTCCAGCCTTGCACAGGAAGAAAGTAACAGGAAAACATGATTTGTCAAGAATAATTATGCATGAAAAGTATAAAAAATAAAAAAAGAGAAAATTGTACATGGGGATATTAAAAATGTAGACAGCTAGGAGGGGTAAATGGAGAAAGCTGGAGGGCCTGACTGTTGGTGTTGGCTCTGCAACACCAAGTGCAACTAAGCTGTAGAAAGGTTGTGGAAAAGGTTGGCATGTTACAGGAAAAGAGTAGTGACAACCGTTTGCCAGATGTTGATGAAAGAAATCTGGTACTTTTAGTGGAAGACCACCACAGACATGGTGTCTGAAGTGTTTTGCTGATTTCCCTATAGTACGCTATAATTATATCTAAAGATGGGAATGTTTTGAAAGTTAGGGATAGTATTTTCTTTTTTTACGATTCGCCGAAAATTCCCCTTTTCCACGCTTGCCTACCTCAGCTGCGGTTCCATAACATCAAGTAGTCCTTGGGCATCTCCTATCCCCAGGAGTGCAAAAGCAACCATCTTCCTGGAGGAATAAGGAGAAGAGCTGGAGGCCCCTGGGTCCCCTCAGAGGGAGACCTTTGGTGGCAGTCGGTGGGGTAAGGAGTCTCTGGTCTGTCAGGTGGAGAATGAGGGGTTTGACTGGAGCTGCACTGACAACGTGGCTTGCCGTGAACACCTGAAGAGCAGAAGACCACGCAGCAGCATCCCAACCCCAAAAAGCTCTTGTGTAAAGCAGGCTTAACGTGAAGTGGTGCTCGGTTGTTTTCTGTTCTGCCTAGTCCTAGCCCTCTTGCCTTCTCCTTTAGGGAACTGGGGGAGGGAGGGGAGAAATCTTTAGGATCAATTATAAGCTTTTTTATTTGAACAGCAGGGCTTTTTCTTCTGGTGGAAAAGGGGAGAGCTCACTGTAACCTCAGCACTGCTTTGACCTTTTGATCGACCTAGGAGATGGGGTTTAAAATCCTGACATTTTTAGAGGTGCTAATCTCTGAACAATTTGTCTTGTACTCTTCTTTTAATCCCATTTGTTGACAGCACATTTTGCTGCTATTAAAAGCACTGGAAAGCTCTCATTGATTTTAATGGTTCAGAAGGAGGCTTCTGGTGAGGACCACTGAGCCTGTCCTGCAGGAGAGATGGGCAGAAATCGCCTGAAAGCCTTAAAAAATGGGGGGAGGAGGGAGTTGCTTTCATATGCATGGGACGTGGTTTGCCGAATAGAGGGTGCGATGTGGCAGAAAGGCTTTGTTGGAGCTCGTTAAGGGAGATCTGTGCAAGTCTTTTGTGAGTAATTTGATCATTTCCAGCAAGATCCCTCAGACTGCTGAGACTCTCTTACCCCACCACACAATGTGTCACTAAACACACACCCAGTATCTAATGTAAGTACTGTCTGTCTGAAAGCATCGATATTATGTTTAGTCACCTTTGATTGTAAGACTTCATCGAAGTGATGAGGATTTTAAACTGGCTCTTGCTTTCCTTGCTGCAGCTTCAAATTATTCTTTACAACCACATCGACAGTGTTCCCAGTGCGCTGAAGCATTTCACATTTTCCTCAAAGGCAAGGCCAAGGATTCAGTCTGTACTTCCTAAGCAGTGCCCTGCTAAATCTGGTTTTGGTTAAACCCTCTTTTTGAAGTACATGGCCATAATTAGATCTGCTTAGAGGAGACAGCAGGACTGTGACCCCAGATCTTTCCTCCACAAAGTTTCCTTTCAGTCTTCGTTTAAAATTGTCTCCTCTCTGCCTCCCCCATCGCAGCACCCCCAGCAAGGAATGCACTGGCAAGTCCCTCGGAGGTCTGTGATAATACATTCCTCTCGGCTTCGGTCATCCTGGCACCGAGATGCTCTTGGCTGCTCTGCTGGTGATGTAATTCTGGGCCCACATCACCTGCAAAGGAAACTGATCTGCGAGCAATAAAGCACACAGCCGTCTTGAAACAAAAATGGGAGTGTTGATGTTAGCAAGTTTTTAAAATCTTTTTTTTTTCCCTTTTGCACTTCTGCTTTTATTACCAAAGCTCTCCTTCTCCCTTTTCCCACGAGACGGCAGCACCAAACCTTTCACTGGGAAGTGCTTGCCTTTTTGTTTCCCTTTATTTCATGGACCAAAGCAAGTGTAAAGGCTGGAGTGTGACATAGCTTGGAGATTTTGTCTGCGTTACCTTTCCAGTTTGCATTTTCTCTTGATTTTTATGGAGATTGTAAAATAAAGA